TTAACTAAATTATCATGTCCCCGGCACCACCCAGTGTAAATCACAAATAACTCTAGAAGGGATTGAGCACAAACGAATGCCCTGGGTTTGAGTTCAAAATTTCAATTGGGTGGTGCTAATATATCCCTGGCACCTCCCAGGATAAATCTCAAATAACCCTGGAAGAGATTGAGCACAAACGAAGTGATTTGCTGCACAACCCAGCACAAATGGAGCACAAACGATGAATTCCTCGGGTTTGAGGTTAAATTTTTGATTGGGTGGTGCCGGAGACATGGACCTACTTACAACTTACAGTACCATTGGACCATTTGGACCAGTAGTTATGCTTAAGTGTAGTCACTTATTATTAGTAATAATGTATGATCACTTCCATAATATATGAAATATCGTTTTACCTATCGTGAGTTTAAAACTCAATAAACGATAATAATGTAATGTATTTTTGCAAACCACGACGATAAATTATAATATAACATGTAATAACCACGCGCTGGTAAAGGAATTTAAACTGTCTCGTAAACCATTTAGATTATTATTAATTTGAAGGTTACTTGTATGATAATATTCATTACTGGTCATTACTTTCATTATTCATTGCATACACGATATACTGCCCGCGGTACCTATACCTATACAATAAGTACCTAATATTATATTTGTGAATTAGAATACCGATGGTTGATGGTGATATCCTGAAGCCCTCCTCCTCCACTACTGACCAACTGCTAAAAGTTTTCCAACATAAATGCCATTAGACGTTTAACTAACAATAACACAATGTCGGATGCCGCTAGCAGCAACGCGTTACAAAATATTATTATGATGATCAAAAATCGAATTTCGCTAACAGAACCGCTAGGGTCCGGGAACTAGGCGCGGCGAATCTTATGAGTTATGACATTATAAAGTGATCGCCGTCTGCCTACAAAAAAACAGAGACACTTTAATTGAATATTTCATATTAATTTTATATTTTCTGATTAAAACAAAACGATACTCTATTAATGACAATGGAAATTTTATATCCTGATTTTATTTTTTCCCTGGGTGATAAAGGTAATAAAGGTATTTTTTATTAATGTGAGAAATGTGTCACATAGTGAATTAAATTTACTAGAAACTATGTGTGTATAAACATAATATAAATATAAATGTGTGTGTATAAAAATAATATAATATAAAAATATAGACGAATTGAAAATTGGATACTAATTAGGATTATGTTTTTATGCATTTGTGAATGTAATATTGGCGTTTTATTCAAAAATATCATAACAAAAATAAACTGTCAAAAATCGGAAGCTAAATTCAGAGACTCAAATATCACGATATGTTTATACACATATAGTTTATTGGCGTACTTATAATTTTTTTGTCGTTGTAGCAACTAGTAGTGATTGTAAATATAGACGTAACGGTAACGAACAACTTGATTAAATTCTATTAACACTTAAGGCTACGATCAGACTTTTAGGACTTAGCTATATGATTATTATGTGTTCAAATGTTATGAAAACCTGCACATAGAATTTAATTTATCATGAAGATAAATAATATTATACATAATACATATACACCAATTGATGTGTTTTACCTATATATATAATAAAAATCACCATTTTCAAATTTAAAACGTAGATACCAAAAACCCGTTTAAAACAATTCAAAACGAAATTGCTTATTAGTTATTATGAGGTCAGAAAAATTACCAAAAAAACTACAATAAGCATTAAAATTTAAAAATCAAGTTTTTTTACTTATCTGGACATTAAATAAATGTGTATTTTAAAAAATATACACCTACTATTATAGACTATAGTATTATTATATAACAGCTCTACGATTAATTACTTCATCTAGTAACACAATATAAGGTTAAAAATTTTAAATCAAACAACTAAGAGATTGTTATTTGTCGTTTAAACACAATTCTTCAACGCGATTTAAATCTAAATTAAGATACGTAAAAGGTTAAAACTATTGATTTATAAAAGAAAAAAATCGTTGATTTTACAGCTAGGTAGGTATGATAGTCATTAAATTTTATAAGAGCCAAAACTGCATCGTTTAAGCGTTCTTGTAGTTATTAAGTTTGATTTCAGAATACTTACGTGGTTACGTCAAAAATTATTATTATTATATTAGTTTTTCTTGTAACCTATTTTTTTATGCAATGTAAAGTTACCGCAAACGTTCCGTTTTATAGACGTATGGTCTGAAACCTATTTAAAGCCTTTGATAATGTGACTAAATTATATACATACTTATTAATGGTATAATAGAATTATTGAATGCTCAGAACAAAAAGGTACTACAGTAAAACTTACTTTTTACGGACCTCCTATAAGACGGAAATACTTTTACTACTTAAAATAACAACAATTGGAGAGTCCCGTATATTTTAATTTCCCTACTATAGAAATGTACATGACTACATTTGTATATTGATTAGTCATTTTATCACCTTTTAGTTTTAGACAATAAAATTCTTTAAATAATGAGTCCATAATGCGGTTGTTCGGGAGAATTGTAAACTAAACATAATATAATTACGTATATCTATGATCTATAAGAAGGCGGATTAAAAAAAAAAAATCGATTTATCACTTTTTTGTCTCTAGTCCATACGTTTTAACTATATGTCAATATTAAATAGTTATACTCTACTCACGTCGTCTTCATCGTCGCGCACACTGTTCATCCAGAAGCACATGGCCATGCATATGAGCACTGCGCCCGAAGCCACCAGACCGACGCCGATGTACCGAACGGCTGGCACGGGTTTCGTGTGGTGGTCAGCCAGCCCAAGCCAGTTGAACAGGGCGCCAATGCACACTAGTGTCATGCCAAACCGGTACGGCCGCTGTGATTCTTCCGGGACGATCAGCGCCATTTCCTGGTTTGTGATCTCGGTGATGTTTTTATCGTCAGCCACCGCCAGTTGTTGCCTGTTGTCGCTGTGCTAGTTGTTTCCAGTAAATTATAATATTTTAATAATTTTATTCTGTTGGCTATCGCGCCGGCGGCAGTTGTTGCTGTGTCTGTGGCTGCTGAAACAATAATACGAGAACGCGGATGCAATGAGTCTGACTACTAAACGTTAAATTGATTTGCACATTTTCAAAAACAAAATATCGTAATTTAATAATTCCCACGCATATATTATTATGCAATAATATATTGTAGGTATAGGTATACAATTTTTGGTCGACAGATTGCGTGTTTTACGTAGTTTATTTGTCCGAAACCTATGAATTAATCATTATATTTGTTGTTTTCTATAGGTACAACATCAAAATATGTGTAAAAACATGGGAAAGATATAATGTGTAAAGTCGATATCTGTTTAATGTGCTTAAACGTAAATATATAACATTGTATAAGATTAATTAAATATGTGTTATATGTTATATTAGTATATAGTTTTTATAAAAATTACTAAAAATTCATAATTAATATTACAATGGTGGCTCAGTACATTTACTTAAATTTTAGATCAGTTTATTAATTATTTTATCTGATTTGCCAATTGTTTTAATTTAAAAATAGATTTGAAGAGTATATTAAAAGGCGATTTTTGTATTATTAAAATAAATTATAATAATATCGACGTAATTTATTTGCAAACATATTATTAAGTTATCCACTATTCGCCATTGAAAAGAACTGTGCATAGTACGAGTATTTTGCATGTAAATATTACAATGATAGGCATTGTGTTAGTTTCATTATTTCAGTGTTCATTAAAAAAAAAAAATCAGTTTTAATAGAAGTTGAACGGTTCACGAAAACAGTAAGTGCCTATGCAAAAACCTAAGGTGAATGAACCATTTTTTTTATAAAAAAAGTAATTTCTTATTTTTTGATTTGCTTTCCTTTTGTCAGTCATCACTGACTGATATATATATATAGCAGCAGCCGTTTGCTGTAGCCTGTAGACTCCTATACAACTCCACGGTTCACTAAACGCGTATAGCGCTTTACGCACTGTTAGTATCACTTCCTAACAATATACACACAATAAAACCAAAGTGAATGGACTGCCTATTATTTAAAATTCATTTCACGAATATATTATAGTGATATTCAGTGATATTTTTCTCTGACGAAAACTAACGACTACTATCAGTTTATATAATATTTAAATAATTAATTAATTAGTGTTATAAATGGAAATTTCACGTTTTATAATATAACAAATTAAATTAAAACAATAATTTAGTAATTAACTAGTTATATAATATTGAGTATCTACCAATACAAAATAGATATGCGTTATATCTATCCGTACATTAATTGTTTTAAATACTATACCTTTCCATATAAGCAACTACCTACATAAAATAGGTACAAGGCGAATCGCTTAACAATTTATATGGTTAATGTTTTATGGCGGATTATTGCTATAGTACTACGAAATAATGAACTGCAAACGTATAAAATGAAACACTTTTTATACAAAGCAAGGCGATAGTACCTATTTAAAAATGTATGTACAAATGCACAAATGCACAATAATACAATAAAATAATACTGATATTAAGAAAAATTTATATTAATTTGAATGTAATAACATTGTACTTGTCATAATAGGATATATTACATAAACGTACTCAAAAACACATTTTGAACCAACATCGATTTACCCAAAATTAGTTGAGATTTAAATAAAAATTTAAAAATATGGATATGTACCACGAAATGAAAGTTGATAAGCTTTTTAGTGTTAGGAATTTAGTAGTAACAAATTAAACATCTTTATAAATAAATATATCATAAAGATAATTCATAATACCTAATACATAATAATATATATGACACTTAATATTGTTCACATTTCACAATACACAGCGTTTTTAATTTTTATTGATATTATATAGAATTCGTTAAAAATATAAACATGTAATTACTATGAGGTAAATTTATGTAGCAATTATGTCTTAACCGACCTAACCTAACCAAGAAAAATAAAGATAAAAAAAAAATAGGTATAATAAATTATGATGTAGGTACCTACACAAATTAGAAACTAAAATAATGAATTTGCTTAATGAGTTGACACGTACTTGAGATACCATTGTATTGTTATTAACTATATTGAAAATAATATTAGGTAGATAATGTAAAAAAAACTGTGTAATATTCCAAATTCATTGTAGAAAGTCTTACAATAAACGATTGATATAAAATATAATTAATTGAGCTGTTTAGAAAATAACGTTATAATTGAGTTGAGACTTTTAACACATTTATTTTATAATAAACACTATTAAGTATAAATAGGCTTTACAAAAAATGAATAATAATGCATTAGATACAATTACATTTACTTTAACATACAAATATATATAATATACATATTATGCGATTTAAATAAAATTGGTTCCTTCTTCTCATTCGTATAAAACGTTTTAATCTAACCCGTCTACAATTATGACTGATACCAAGTTTTAATCATGGGTTATAAGTGGGATATTTCTTAATCTCATACATTATTATCAGGTGTTTTCTTCTTATAAAGGTTAATTATTTTTACCGACACCTTGACTTTGTTTAAACGTCAACTATACCTATCTAGTTCATTTACATGTAAGTACTACACACGAATAATATTTTGATGATACACCCATTAACAAACAATTTGTACGTAAACAAGATGTATYAACACAATGTAATAACAATAACAGTACGTAAAAAGTAATCAAATACGTCGCTCATGAATAAATTACATAAGTTTACATTTTACTGTAGGTATATGTAAATAAAAGAATTTATACGTCATTGTGGTATAATTATTCAAACTTTAATTGTTAATTTGTTATAATTACTATGCGTGTAAACTGATATGTATACACGTCATATAAACTAATGTATAAGAAAAATAAATAAGGATGTGTAATTTATTATTATTATCTATTAATAAATGATCTACTCATTTAAAACATTCTAATTATAACTTAAAATCCTCAAAACCCTTAAAATCATATTTTAATACGATATTAGAATAATATAATCGCTTTGATTTAAATTTAACATTTGTCATTTACATAGTATTTAGGATGTTATAAATTTTTGATATTCTAATTTTGAAATACATTTTACAGTTAGTATTATGCTATTAGTACCTATAGTCAACTTCAACTATAAACTTTTGTTAAAAATTCGATTTTAATACATCAGAAAATCGAAAATTGTTGTATCTGTTTTAGAATAGAACACGGAAAATGTATATGTATTTTAAACTAAATAAAATTAAAATTATTACGTTTAAAAAGACATTTTATTTGAAAAAAAAAAAAAAATGTTTTTTGTAGACTGAATTATATATGGAAAATATATTTAAAAGTTATTAGTTTTCGAAATAATGAGTGTCTTACATTGAAAAAATCACTTTGGACTTTTGGAGTAACTTAATTGTAATACAATTTATAAAATTTACATTTATAATTAGTGGTAAATAAACTAGATTCAATATTCTTCACAACTCAAAAAGTTTACGCACTGACACACAGTACATTAGTACATATTAAAAGTTATTTTATAATTTATAGTTACATAAAATATATTGAAATGCACTAAGTTAATTAATTGATGACTATATAAGCAATCGCCTATTGTAATTTATATGCCATAAACTTTAAAAAAAAATACCATAAGATATTTTTGCTCTGATTTTTAAATGTTATCTATATATTTGTAAAAAAACACAGTTACAAAAGAATTTTTGCAGTATTATTATTATTCTGTATACATTATAGGTATACCGTATACGGTATACATAAATACATAATACTTGGAAATCATCAATTTATTATATAATTCAAAATTTAAATTACCTTCTATGTTATAATTAACAATTAATTTATAATAATCAAAATAATTTGTTTATCTATTTGTATGTATTAGGTAGTGAACACAGAAAACGATAAGTTTTCACATAGGTAAGTATGTTAAATTGTTAAATATTATCTATGATATTATTTTTAAAAAAATTTGTAAGTAATTTCATCATTTATATAATACTATTGAGAATAAATTGTGAATAATATCAGTGGCGTGGTGAACGACGTTTACCTAAT